CTCCCTCCCTCCTCTCTCTCTCTTTCTCTCTCTCTCTCTCTCGGTAGTGAGTGCAAGGGAGCCTCCAAATCAAAACGGATGGCACCCAGGCTACTCTCTCTCTCTCTAGCTAGCTTTGAGAAGTAATTACAAAATATCAACATGTTTACTGAAAAGGATAAAAGTGGATAGATTGCTACACGTTTGAGTGCAGACAAGAGGCACTAGGAGATTTTCCCTCATCCCTTAGACGCCTGGACAGTAATCATTTTGTTTTCTTCAGCTTCCAGACTAATGCTTAATCACAGGCGCTGCCTCTTCTTCTGAAAGCATAAACCAGACTATTACTTTTAACAACGTATCTTGAGAGGCGCCGGTCTAGGAGGGATCTTTTATTTAAGACTAAAGACACTTAGGCCACAACAAGTAATTCTTATGGATGAGATTTTTATGCATAACTGGTTTCGAAAAAAAACCCAAGAAATTTTGCTGCCCTCTGTGCCAGTTTGGCATAAATGTCTATCGGTTCAGAGACCATCAGGGATCCAGCAAACTTGTGACACAGTTGCTCACGTTTGATGGCAAGTGTTGACAGTCCAAGGTATTCTATCGCACATGAGTACCCAGTGTAGTAGCTGTATACACATGATGGTACGACAAGCTATTTTCTACAAATGTTCTAGTTAAACCTTTAATCGAGATTTGTATACACATCTACAAGGACAGGTAATACTGTTGAATACACTCAGGAATAAAAGGCCTGTTGTTTGTGATATTATGTTTTGCCGTCTCAATTCTTGTTTAGATTAGGTTTAAGAGCTCAAATTGTAGGAATCTCGTTTTTTTGTCTGCCTTGTTTTTTCTCCCTATCGCATTGATATTGGCGTCTGCGGACGATGTCATCTTTAAATCTAGTTGTGTTCAATTTAATTTCATTTTTCTTATCTATTTACCCAGGGTTTACATGTCATCCTGTTAGCGATTTTAAATGCTCCTTACACATATAAAACAAACATATAGTAGTATATATATATATATATATATATATATATATATATATATATATATATATATATATATATATAATATAAAGGAAAGGCATAAACTAACTTAAGTGCAAACATTGCGTCACCGTAATAAAAAAAAGATTTGAAATAATACAACAAACTGATAAAGTAAGTAAAACAAACAAATATAATAAATATTGATAATTGAACTGAATTTGCATATCTATTGTCATAAACAAAATATAGGATTTAACAATTTAAAGAAATCATATCAACGTAGAAGTGTTTTTTCCTACCCCTCCTGCTGCATGCTCCGAGCAGCCTGATGACATTAGGATGGCTGCCGACGTAAATCAGCTGATCCAGCTCCTTCTGTAAAATCTCTCTCTCCTCCACCGTGGCGCCGTCTGGCTCAGACATACATCATAAAACAGACAAATAGAATGACAGCCATTAGAGAAGTGTCCTTAAAAGCGTAAGGCCATGTTGATTACCTTCGCCAAGAAGGTTATGTTTTCCGTGGCGTTTGTCTGCGTGTATGTTTGTGTGTGTGTGTGTGTGGTTTAGCAAGATAACTCAAGAAGCAGTGAATGGATTGGAATGAAACTTGGTAGGTGGGTAGGTCTTTATGAGACCTACAAATGATTAGATTTTGGGCCCCCTGGCGGCTTTCCTAGGTACTGCAGCAGAACTTCCGGTTTTTATATCTCGTGATCTGGATATGCTAGGGTCACGAATTTTGGATGGCAGATAGCTCTTGGAATAGGGAAGAAGTGACATGAGTTTGGGTTCCCTAGCGGCTTGTTCTGGAACTGCAGGAGCATTTGTTGAAAAATTTTCGAAGGAGGATAACTCAAGAACCGGTTGACGGATTGTCGTGATTCTTGTTTGATTATATGACTGGCATCGGCATGAATTTTTGTCCGTTTCCAGAAAAACTTTTCGACCATGCTGTAAACCACAACCTTGTTACCAAATCTGTTTTAGCTTCCGAGTCCTCCGTTTATATGCGAAGAGGATGTAGGACTCGGGAGCTAAATGGGTTTGGTAACCAGGCTAGTAAATTGTACAAAGCAGCGCAAATTTATGCCGTAAATTAAAAAAAAAAGGAATATTGAAACCGATACTAATGTCGTAGAATGCCAAAATCAATTCCAAAATAAAAGAAGAAAGAAACATTTTTCTAGAAACGGACAAAACTTCATGTGAAGAAATGAAAATGTCTATTACTCTTCATATGAATTTTCGTCTGTTAAAATGACCAAATATATGCCGTAAATTGCAACCAAAAAAAACATTGGAAAACGATGCTAATGTCGCAGAATGCCAAATTCTAAAGACGAAATTGTGAAGAAATGAAAATGAAAGTCTATTATTTTTCATACCATATTCTGTGTGTTTAGCCATTTGTTCAACCTTCATGACCACGTAGCTTAGCTTCCATAATGAAGGCAACTTTTTGGCCAAACTTTTTTTTATTTGCACGCTCGCATCAGTTTTGGGGTTCCCAGGGGATGTCATCCATAAAATCAAATCAACATGGCCTAATAAAGCAAAAGCTGTACATGCTGCTCGTTTCAAACCGTGCGTCTGGTGACCTTTTTAAACTCTATCGCCAGCGTAACGTCTGGCTCTCAAGCAAGATACGAAGTAGGGATAATGGCTTTTCGTCTAGACTTCGATTACATCACACTCCAAGTGATCGGAGTGTCTGTTGTCAGTGAATGGATGGTGTGCATTAGTTTCATTCATCGAAGTTACGAAAGTCAGGAAGAGAGATCTAGATCCAAGAGATCGAATGAAAGGTCGTCTCTGTGTGTTGGTAAAGTTCATGATGTAAAGTTTAACTTTGAACCAAGACAAAAAGGAAACTGGTGAGTTCCTTTTTGTGTTATCCTTTCCCATCTACGTCAGTGCTAAATAGACCCATCGCCAAAGGGCCTATTTCTGCAAAAGAGGTCGGCGGTCCCAATATCAAGGGAACAAACTGAGAACATACAAAACATTCAAAGTACTATACGACAGAGAACCATATTTAGACATTCCAAATTTTGAAAACCGCAGAGCTATGTGTAAACTCCGTATTAGCGACCATCCTCTACACATAGAATCTGGCAGGCATAGCCGTACACCGTTACAAGATAGACTATGCAAGTTCTGTAACAATTCTTGTATTGAAGATGAATCGCATTTTATACTTGACTGTATATTATATGATAACGAACGTAAATCACTGTTCAGTTCAATGAAGATCGACAAAAAATGTAAAACGTTATCAAAGGAAGACACTTTTAAATATATAATATCATGTACAAATATAGACGTCATCAATGAAGTATGTAAGTATATTTCAAAATGTTTCAGAAAGACAGAAGAAGCCATTAGAACTTAGATCTATACCACTTTATATATATATTTATTTTTAGCATTGTATACCTTAGACCTGATGTTAGCCTTTCTTTATTACTATTGTTGTAATACTCTCTAGTACATTGTACTTTGTACATCCGTGCATTTATCCCCCCGGGGAATGAACATGCAATAAAAGTTTCTATAATTCATATAAGCCAGCAAATTTGATGAGACCGAGCCGACGCGAGTTATTTTTTGTGATTCATTCATCGAAGTTTTCTTAAAAGAGAGCCGCAGGAAGAAGACAGATCTAGATGCAAGAGTTCGAATGAAAGCTCTTCTAACATCCAGAAAAGAAAGTTTAACTTTGATCCAACACAAAAAGAAACCAAAGTATTGAGTTCCCTTTTTGTGATGGATCACAATTAAATTTTTCATTGGAGCTATACAAAGTGTATTTATATATACATGTATATGCCCTTTTCCACCCACGTTTAGTGCTAAATTCAGTCGTCGCCAAAGGGCCAATTACTGCAAAAAGCGCCGGCCCCAATTCATCACTTAACCCGCCAGTAAATTTGATGAGCCCGAGCAGACGCTAATAATAAAATTTCCGTCTCCTAATCGGCCGTTGCCATCTGAAACCATCGATGCAATATCGCGGAACGGCAAACTTGAGGTGTGTTAGACCGCTCCTTCGGTTTCGTGGTGTAGAGTTTTGGTTTTAGGATTAGGCTTTTTGACCCGAGATCGAATCCGTGCTTCCATTTTTTCAATAATTGAAAGTTTATTGCAAATTTATGCCCGGGGGCTAATAGCAAGAACATGATAACAAATAAACATTAAAAATGTTAATAAGTAATGCTAATGCTACTTTGGATATAGTTATTGTAATGTTGGGTTTTAGTTCTTTTCTGTGTGCAGTGGAGTATGAAGTGCCGACATTTTGCGAGATGAATGAATGGGGGGGGGGGTCTTAATAGAAATGCAGTTTTTTGTAGGCTGGAAGGTTAATAAAGCCAGGGAACAATAATATCTTATGTTTACTTTTTTCATGATGCTGTCGTATATTTGCAATTGAAATGTACGTCTGGTATGTCGTTATTATGAATGATACAATAAAAAAAAAACACCTTTCAGAGTCTTGACGGCGACTGCGACAGGTCCAGGTTTGCCGTCGATGTCCTGGGCGATGGCGTGGTGAACCTTCCCGAACGCGCCCTGCCCCACCACCTTGCCGAAGTTCAGCTTCCGGATGGGGAACTCCCACTTCATGTACACTGTGTCCGTGAGCTGGGACGGGAAGTCTGAACGCAGGGAGTTCAGAGACATCTGGGGTAGTAAAAGAAGCAACGTTCATCATCATCTTCATCATTATCATCATCATCATCATCTTTATCATCAATTTCATCTGCATCATCATCAACATCATCACCATCATATTCGTCATCATCATCATCTTCATCTTCATCATCGTTATCACCATCATCATCTTCATCATCACCATCATCATCATCATCAAAATAATCATCTTCATCATCACCACCATCATCCTCTTCATCATTATCATCATCATCTTTATCATCTTCATCATCACCACCACCATCTTCATCATCATCATCATCATCATCATCATCATCAACATCATCATTATCATCACCATTATCATCCTCCTCATCATCATCTTCATCAGCAGCATCAGCAGCAACATCATCTTCATCACGCTATGAAAACTATTTTGGGGGGAAACGGACGAAAATTCATGCGTGTGGGTGTCATCCATATAATCAAATCAAAATGGTCTGATTTCAGGTTCCTGAGGAGTGTAGGCGTCTGTGTGCCTCAGGCTCTAATCTCCGGAGCCACATGAGGTCGTCTTCTGATAACTAAAGTAGAAAATATACCAAACCAGCACAGTGTGCCGGGGGCCATTACGGAAACATGTCCCTGATAAGGAACTTTCCGCGTCTGCTTTTATCATATTTGATGGATACATATCTTTGTTCTCAACAAGACATACCCCTTGGGTACTTGCGTAAAGTAGAGATCTTGTAAACGGTCGTTGCCATTTCAAACAGTCGATGATCTATCGAGAAACGGCAAACTTCAAGTGTGTTAGAACGCCCCGCAAACATTTCGTGGTGTAGAGGATTAGGCTAGCGAGAACTACGGACTTACATAACCTTGAATTTAAGATTGGATTAACTGATTTTCGTTAGTCTGGTGGTCCTCTTACATGTAGGTTAAAATTAAGAGACGGCAAACCGTCCTTATGCTTAGGTCATATTTCCAAACCGGGCTGTTTGTTTGAACGAAAAATTAACAATTCATGTCATAAATATACAGAAATAGTGCCCATGATTATCATTAAAAACTTTTCTGTGTTTTGTTGTCTTTCATATCAAACTTTTCGTTCCCAAAAGCTGCCCGGCCGGGTCCCGTTTGGGAATTGTGACCTCTTCACGACTTCACGATAAATTCACGACTTTCCCTTGCAGAGAATGGCCTTGCTTGAACTACAGACTATATAATACATAACCTTGAATTCAAGATTGAACTAACTCATTATCAAGAGCCTAGTGGTCCCCTTGGGTTACGAGACGGTGAACCATAGAGTGGCTCCGGTTACCCTCTAACAATTCAGCGTCACGACTTAACCTTGCAGAGCATGGCCCACCGAGGACTGTAGACCTACATAACCTTCCATAGGAATTGCTCACATTGTTAGCGAGCGAGCTGTGGCATTGGAGTGTATGGATAACCCAAGCGTGTACCTGAAGACACACTGGATCCGTCAGTAGCCTCCAACAGTCTAAAAGTGGGGTCGTGTGGCGTAGCGGCAGAGTGCTCGACTTAGAATCAAGAGGTCCCGGGTTCGAGTCCTGACATGTCGATCTTGTGCCCTTGGGAAAGCTAGGCACTTAACACGACTTTCCTCACTTCGCTCGGGTGAAAATGAGGATTGTGTTGTCCACTGTGTTGGTAATTTTTAATATAAGTTGAAAAAACTTGAGTGTGCCGTCACCACGCCTTGTGATTAGATGTTGGAATGTTAAAAAAAACAGTAAAACAGTCTAAAATAGTAGAAAGCGGTCTAAGAAATCGAGTTCAGTCCATGCAAGCAAACTGGACCTTCTCTGGCCGGCCAACCCCTCTGGCCAGCTACATTCTTCTTAGGCCGATTTCTACTATTTATTCAGCCTGCAAAGGAGTCTGGTGCCTGCTGAAAATGGTGGAGACTAGTCAGTTAGGGTATTCGCCGTCTCTTAACCAAAGACGACCACCTGGTTCACGAAAATGAGTTCATTCAACCCGTCCATACACTGCCGCTACCTTCGGTTTTATGTGAGGCAAGTCGTGTGGAAGTCTAAATGATATAGATGCTGAACCCATCTGAGCGGCACAATCAAAGTTCAATCGTTAGCAGGAACCCAGACAACCTCACATGTGAACCACCGTCTATTCCAGATAAGGCCACACCAAGTAAATTTTATGGATGACGTCCTTTGGAGACCCTAAATCTAATGCGAGAGGGCGAGAAAAAAAACAAGAAGGGCCCTAAAAAACAAGATGCCTAGCTATATATAGATTAGAAATATACTAAGAGGCGACAAATGTTAGGACACAAATTGAATGAGGTGACACAGTGTAACAAGCAAGAAGTCTTTTATTCATCATCAAAACAGCAATAAATCAGGTGGAACAGTGGACAGTGAAAACAGGATGGTCATAGACACTTTCTTCGCGTTACGGGTTTCACGTCAATCTGACGATTTGCGGCACTGTTGTGACTCTTTGGTCATAGTTAAAGGAAGCGGAATTTCTTGTTTTTTTTCTAGGAACAGGCCAAAATCAATGCGCGCGCGGACGTCATCCATAAAATTTACTTGGTGTGGCCTAAGGCCATGTTGATTTGATTGTATGGGTGTCATCCGCGAATTTGTGACCGTTTCAAAAGAAAACGTTTTCGGCCATACTGTAGGTTGTACAAAGCAGCTGTAAAACTGGCCAAATACATGCCGTAAATTGCAACAAAAAATATTAGAAAACGATACTAATGTCGCAGAATGCCAAATTCCAAAGAAGAAAATGTGAAGACATGAAAATGAAGAGTCTATTATTCGCCATACCATACTCTGTATGTTTAGTCATTTCTTCAACGTATATTTCACCATGAAGGCAACTTTTTTTTTGCCAAATTTGTTTATTCGCACGCTCGCATGAATTTTGGGGTTCCCAGAGGATGGCATCCATATAATCAAATCCACATGGCCCAATAGCAACCCGATGAAGGTTATGGAGTTCAATCAACCATCCATTCATTCATGTACATCAGTAGTGTGACCTTCGTTGTTAGCTCAACCCTTGCGTTGAGCAAATCTACATCACTTCACAGCCTTCTACCACAACTGGTCGTTTTGGGTCAGCAGGCAGGCGTAAAATGCGTCCATAGAACTTCATCCATTCATGTTATGTGCCGCTGTGGCGTTAGTATAAAACGTTATGATCTTTATTGGAGTGTAGCCAGCCTCGAGAAAGGTCTGATGTGGAAGTAACGCGTGGACGTCAGCAGAAACCGACACGCACGATGCGGGGTCACGTTTTAACCCCAAAACCCTGGCGCTTGGAAAAATGCGTTTTCGTGCGTAAGAACTGTTTAAAACGTGACCAGACTCAGATGTTGGCAAGATCAGAAAACTTTAAACTTTATCAATGGAACTAAGCCTGCCCCCCTAAAGCCTAGGTCGCAATTCAAGAAAGGGGCCCTAACAGAAACCGACCGTCAAAGGGACCAAAAGTTTGGTAAATGTAGATAGAAGCCGCCTCAGCGTCCCGACAGGGAGCCGTAAAGGAACATTTAATTGTGACCCTGACAGCCGGTGCACGCTCGGCTTCATGACGCCGGCCGGCGTCTACACCGAGAACATGCCGAGCAGGCCCCTTTTCGGAAACCAGATGGGGTCCCACGGAACCACGTCCGGTAGTACAAAAAAAAAACAGCCCGTAAACTACCCGGCCGGGCCCCTTTTTAGCAATTGTGCCCTGAGCATAACAGACACGTACCTCATCTATGTCCCTCTCCCCTTTGGAGCAGCGTTTAATGAGCGCGCCGATCACCAGCACGATGGAGGTGATGGTGAGGAAAGTTCCCATCCCCACTGCCAGGAGCTGGTCTACACGGACACAACAGAGTAACGGTTAGGATAAACATCTAACAGTAATCAGACTGAGTGTTAACGTTAGGCCACACTGAAAGAGCGGTATCCTACAAGCTAAGTACAGGTCATGTATAAAACACTATACAAAATTTAAGGAGATATCTGCAGCCTCTTCTCGGCGATTTACATGAAATGTTTGGACTGTATTTTAGAAGCGTAGGAGCTAATTTCCTCCTCGCATACGGTCGTTTCTAGTTGAAAATTTGATGCCTATCGCAGAACGGCAAACTTGAAGTGTACCGGTAACAGCAACACAGTCACTATACTAGTGATGTTTTGTGGCGTAAGGATCAGGCTTTTCGACCCAGGTTCGAATCCGAGCTTGTCTTTTTTCTCTACGTACCAGCTTAACTATTTTTCATGACTTACTATCTTCACTATTTTTCATGACTCTGCAATACATTTGCAATTGAAAAATGTTGCTTTTTAGACGTTTCAATTGTTTTGCCACTCTTGTTTTATACGCCCGGATATGGCATCGAACATTCAGCGATATGGCATGGACGGTTTCGAATGGTAAATGTTGAATGCGATAGATAGAGTTAATGATTTTGGACGTATTTGTGTTGTAAGATAATAATGATAACTTTTGTCACCTGACTCATCATCATTCCGCATGGTCAACACAAGCACACTCGGAGATGCAGTGGCCACTGTCAGGCAAAAGAAAAAATCTAGTTAGCGAAAGTATATGGTATGAAATAGCAAAAAATCACAGTAATATTATAAATCAAGGCCCGGGGTCTATTAAATGTCAATCATAATTCATGAACTCACTTATGCAGGTAGTCACGGGTTCATCCTCCACGAAGGTGTATCCCGGCATGCACTCGCACTCCATAGATCCTTTGCGGCTGGAAGAGCCTTCAGGACAGATGGTGCAGGATTCCTGCCCCACGGTTGGCTTGTAGAAACCTGCGGGACAGGCTGATGGGAAGAGACGGAGCAGTATATAATATATCCGTAAATAATTTCATCAGGTTGGTAAACGAATGAATAGCAAAGTTTTTTTGATCACAACCATTTTTTGTTGACCGTTTCGATGACCGTCTGTCATCTTCATCAGGGCAATTCTGACTGATTTACTTGGTGCTAG